ACTGTCTCTGAAAACCCTCTACGGGTCGGTTCCAAATCAATGGTACACAACAACAAGAGGAAGCTATAATGAAAAAAAATGTATCAATGTCCCTAGTATTTATTCTTTCAAGGAGTCATTGTTTTGTAATATTTAAGGGCTGAGCTGTTAATGGAAGAAGTTATCAGTTTGAGCACACTCAGCTATTCTGTGTGAGAATAAGTGATCTTCTATCATAAAGACTACTCCTAAGAAAACTCTTTGAGGCAGTTCTACTCTATTTTTGGGGTTACTATGAGTTGGAATCAACGCTATAGCACACAGCAAATATTTTCTCAAAGTATGAGCATGACGTCAGGGCACAGCAAGTCAATACTAGCAATTGTATTAATAACGTATCATTGTAGGTATTCAGGTGATATACAGAATTAAATTACCTTTAGTGCAAAATTAAAACTAAATTGCCTGTTTTCTAAGACCCAAGACCTGCTTTCCAATCTATGCATTTGTTTACAGTGTAAGTAATGAAGCTGAAAAGACAAAAATACTGCTTGACCCATGCTATTCCCTGGTAGACCCATTAAGAAAAAAATGATGTCTCAACAAAAAGTAAAGGGCAGATTTACATTTCTGAATAATACTGTAATTCTACAAGTGACTTTTATGACATCATAAACCACGAGACTAAATTCCTATCATTAGAATTTAAGCATAGAATTATCTCTTTAGTATAAAATATCATTTCAGCATATGAATGTATTTTTTTAAATAAGCAGGACAATTTGTTAGATTTTTATTTCTTTTTATACTATTTCTCAAACAATTAAGGCTAGTTTTCAATAATGCACATTTTAAGCCTGAGTCTTATTACTTGTTGTGGAGCTTCCAGTTTAAGACAAGTTTGGAAGCAGGAGTGGCCTCCATTTCCTCAACAACATGCCTCTGGAAATTCTTTTAATTTTGATAAATGATAGTTATAGAACGGCTTCTGGCCTTTTTTTCATAGGGTTGCTATGAGTCGTGCTCGATGCGAAGGCAATCAACAAACAAAACAAACATATATTTTCCATCATAATAATGGCAGTGAACTTGTTTTAGGATGGCATGATCCTACGTCTTCCAAATAATCATTCTATGGTGGGAACATTGGTAAAAGAGGGAACTGCCTCTTTCTCTCTTTATTTTGTTGTTGTTGTTGTTATGTGCCGTCGAGTCATTTGCGACTCATAGCGACCCTATGTACAACAGCCCTAAACTCTGCTCTATCCTGTGCCAATCGTACTGCCTCTGACACACCCATCCCGATTATCCCAGTCACTGAATCAATCCATATCATAGATTATTCACAGTTGTCTTCTATTGCAGCTTCATTTATTTCCCCTTCATCCACAGTAGCTCACAGCACAAATGCCCTTGTAAAAACAGTCAACTGTGCTGATTAGTTTCTTTGAGGGTTAGAGCCACTAGAAAGTTCTGTGTGGAATGATCATGGTCCCATGAAAATACTTGCCAAAAATGGTGATTCCTCAATAATGCTATATTTTTAATATGGAAACCATTCTCATTTTCCACTTTTGCAATTTTTTTTTTGAGTGGTAGTAAGTCTGATTACGTCTCCTGATCTGATTTCAAAATGGTCCCATTGTAGGTAATTGCTGGCACTCATTTACCACATTAAATGTGATGTGAGAGTAGAAATAATTATCTGGAAAGTTACATATTTACTTCTGATATTTGGAGAAGAGGCAAGAAGCTAAAAATGAAGGAGGAAAAACCTAAGCAAGGAAAGCACAGAAAAGGTACGAATTTACTAAAAACAGCTCAAAAATAGGAAATGAAAACAGTCAAGCTCTCGGGTGTTCACCACAGGGACATTGCTGTCTGCCACCATGGAGTTGGTTCTGACTTATAGAGACCATATGTACAAAAGGACAAAATGCAGCCCCATCTTTCACCTTCTCATGAGTCCTGCCATCCGTGAGCTCACTGTGCTGCTGCAGCCACTGACTCAGTTCCTTTCACTGAGTATCTTCCATTTCTGCTACCATTCATACACACTTTGTTTTATACCATTAATAACAATACTATTTCTCACAATGTGACTACACTCTCTCTACTTCTTCCCTGGGGTTCTAGTTTCCATTAATATCTCTCTCCTACCTCTTTCTGAACCATGCTTGGAAAAGCGGAGGGTCGGTGAAAGAGAGGAAGCCCCTCAACCAGGTGGATTGGCACGGTGACTGCTACAGTGGTCTCTAGTGTGTCAGGAAGTGTGAGGATGGCTCAGGACAGAGCAGGGTTCAGATCTGTTGTTCATAGGGTCGTTATAAGACACACTAGTTTCGACAACCTAACAACAGCAACAACGACAACCCCTTCCTGATCTCTGGGCCTTATCCTTGGGAAATGCTGCTTTTAAACCTTATATGGTTGTTTTTTCTGAGTGCATCCTTGGTGCTATTGTTCAATTTATAGGCTTACATTTTGGTTAGCTTACAGTTAAGCCACTCGGAGAAATTTTGTTCCAGGCGTGAGGGATAACTAAAGGATCTAATCTCAGGAGTCTAACTTTTCTCCATCAGATCAGTAAGTCTAGCAAAAGCAATGCTATGCTCTGTTTTAGCAGCACCAAAAATGACCAGGTTATCCCCAGCCTGTTTGATTCACTGCAATACAGGGACGTTCATCTGATGGTAATTATAAAAGAGTTTCTTCAGAAGTATTCAATTAACACTTATTGAATCTTGGCTATTTCTGGAGTGGGAATAAAAAATGGCTCTCTGCCAGTTAGGATATATTGGATAAACAGAGTAACAGAGAAAAATTAAAATTATGTCCACTTTACTATACTCCCAGGTATGCATTCAGTCAATATTTATTGGCTATTTATAATATGCCAGATCCCTTATGGGTGTGTAAACCAAAAGATAATTTGATACAGAGGAATTGGCAAATTAATTATTCAAGACAAATTGAAAAGAATGTGATTAGGGCTGTAATAGAAGAAGAAAATCAAATGCTATGGGAATGCAGAAGAGAGATCTAAAGGGAGAAGAATTTATATGATTCTAATTTACAATTGAGCTTGAAAGAGGAGGAGGATTTCTCTAGACTAAAACTGAAGTGTAGGGTGAGCCAGGGAGTGAGTATAGGTAAAGATACTTTGCAATATCAGGCACTATAGTTAAATATTGGTTGAATAAGCGGGCAAATTACATAATAACCAATCATTGCCAGTGGTGTGCTGGTAAATCAGCTCTGTGAGATGCCGAGTGGAGGAGGTGTGAGGGTCAGAACTTGTTGTACAGTGTTTGCCAATTTATGTGTCATCAATATTGCAATAATGCCAATTTCAAGCTCCTCCTCCGCTATCTGTAGAGTGAGAACAGACTCATAGCTTGACCCTCCAGTGAGCTTTTTAGAGGCTGGAATCAGTCCATCTTTCTTCCACAGAGTTACTGGTGGATTTGAAGCTGCCATCTTTGGATGGACAATGCAACTCTCTATCCATTAGGCCACCAGAGTTAGCAATGTTATCACTGAGCACAGAGTTGGATGGAGCTGCCCATATTCGGGTCTGGCCAGTGACTAGAAGCCCACTTCAGCCTCTCCTTTCTGCAGAGCATTCTGGAAGTACTGGCGGGAATGACTGAGCGTATTAAAGAATGAATGAATAAGCAAAGTACCAGTTCCAGGGCTAGGACAATACAGTTAAAAACACAGAGATCTTAGAATTCATAGTTTCAAATAATGAGTAGTTATGTTTAGTGAGTCAAGAGGAGAGAATGAAAGTGGAGCTAAGCTGAACCTGGATATACCCACATCTAGTGTCTGACTTTATTCAGTAGGTAATAGGTACCATCAAAGCTTCTGAAGAGAAGTTTTATGATGAGATCTGCCTTTTAGATGTGTCTTTGCCCCTAATTCTGTATAACTGTCCTTCTTTCCTCAAAGTATAAACCCAAATGAGTGATAAAATTCTTACTAAAAATAATATAACAGGTAAAGCCTTCCTTTCATCAAAACAGGTTGTTGTTTTTCTGTGTCATGGAGTTGCTTGTGACTCAAAGCGAGCCTATGTACAACAGCCCTAACCCCTGCTCTATTCTGTACAACCTTATTGTCTCTGACACATCTAACCCCACCACCCGAGTGACTGAATCAATCAATCTCATCAAGGGTCTTCCTTTCTTGGGTTATCCCTCCAACCCATCGAAACATGTTGTTTCTGTTGTTGAGTGCCGCTGAACCGTAGGCGACTCGTAGAAACCCTATGAACAAAAGTCTTTGACACCTGCGTGTGTGACTTTCATCCTTTCTTCAGGTTCATAGGGTTTCTGGAGGCAAGCTATTTATGGAAGTGGATGCCACTCCTGCTTCCAAGCTTGTAGCCAGGGAGCAACACCAAGCACTGTCCACCATGGGTAACTGTTACCACATTTGACACATCAGTGTCACAGTGTTCAGCTTTACAGCAACCACAAGTTACCTCTGTATGGCAAGTGGACACACCAGGGCTATACGACCTAGAAGAATGTTTGACCAGCAACAATTTAAAACAGGCCTTATGGCCATTGAAACATAAGGATGTAAAAAAATAAAAATCCTTTAAGGTTGTGACATCTAATTTTTAAAAATTATTTCTTTTCTCCGTCAAATCCACTGTTAATAAAAACTGCACCACAGAGGGAAATCCATTTTGAAATACAGTCTAAATATAAGCTCAAGTGTACAGATATAGGCAAAGGAAGAGAAAGGGCAATGTAATGTCTGACTGGCAAGGTTACATGGAATATAAAATTACTTACAAAGGCCGTATGATATTAGATTGTCTTTTCTCTATAACTATCTTTCTTTCCTCAAAGTAAAATTTGTAATTCTTGTAAAATATTTTAAAATCTTTGGGTTTGAGCAATTTGGACTTGTGAACATATACTACTTCAATTTGATGACTTTAATATTTATAATCAAGAAATGCTTTCTTTTCTAAATCAGAAAACTTACTGATGACTATCTCTTACCTAGAGATATTGTCAGGGGAGCAGGCAGAGATGCTGGTCTCCATGCTGTCAGAGCTGTCCAGGCTCAACGTATCAAAGGCCTGGTCCTTGTAGCTGTGATCTGGATAACGGAAACTATTCAAGTAGACATTGGATTCTGATGCAGTGCGGTTGTAGAATTCAGAAGATTTTTGTCTTTGTCCTTCATTCATCTGTTGGTGATTATAACCTAAGAGACATAAATATGTTAGTGGGTCTCACTTTTCAGTCTTAGAAGCTTTCACATCTATAGATTCAAACCAGAAAGCAAAAATTTCCTCATAGAAGCCCAAGAGTAAGCTTAGTCTATTTCCCCCCTAAACTGTATTTATTTTGTGAATACTGTTGAAATCACACACTAAAAAACTTACACCAGCTCACATGTTCACATGCATACAATTTAGTGACACTGATTACATCTTGGACTATGTAACTATCATCACTCTCTTAAGTTATTCCTTCTCTATTAACAAACTCACTGTACCTAAGGTTTCCTATTTTATCTTTTAAATTGATGTCAATATGACAGATAAGTCTTAAAAGAGTAAAATGCTAAAGGTAAACATTTTTTCCCTCTCTCTCATTAAATTAGTTCTGGTTTAAGATGATGTTGAGGTCTATTTTTTTTGTTTAAGGTTTCAATGTTATCTCAGAGTTAAATATTGTATTATGCACCCGCCTAGGTTCCAGATAGATAGTTTTCAGTCCATGAGTTTTTGAAGCTCTGTTCTCGATTTCCCCCTCTTTTGACCAAGACTCTTCTATGGAATCTTCTTTGGCAAAGAAACTGTTGTTTAAAAATACGTTTAGCCACCGTTTCATAGCCCCCTCTTCCTGATTCTCCTTCCTGTTGTTCCACATGAATAGAGACCAACATTTACTGATCAATTTGAATATGAAGCTGATGAGGTCAAAGTGTAAGCATCAGTGTAAGCAAAACTGCAAGCAAGAGATGCAAAAGAATGGTCTTGTGAGCGATCTTTTGTAGTCAAGGGCTCAACTCACTTTCCTATATCATTCTTACATCTCAAGACAACCGAGAATTATATATTGCAAGAAGAACTCAATGCCTTAATCCTTTAAATATAACTAGGCTCAGGTGCTCATGTGAAGTCAGCATGATTCTAGTGACAAGCAACAGCAGGGTTTGAGAGTTGTCATTCTTTCAGTTTAAGGAACAGGAATGTACTGTTTACTAAAGCAACAGGCAAATCTTTCAAATGTAGGATTTCAGAATCTTGTATCTTATGTTAACATTTTTAGTCTAATCAAGATACAAACGGCACATTTTTCTCATTTTATCTTCCAGTTTGCATTGCTTTCTAATTATTTATTTTAAACAGTCAATAATATCTCCAGTGATTGCAGTCCTACTAATAAGTAAGTCTGCTTTAACAAGAAGACAAAGATTCTCACCACTGGACCAATTGGTAGCATCAGGATGGATGGTGAAGAGATTGAGATTGTTAATAACTTTAGTCTGCTTGGCTAAAGCAGTGGCCAGGAAATAAAAAACATATTGCGATGGGAAAGTCTGCTGTTAGGGACCTTTCCAGGGTACTGAAGAGCAATGGTGTCACTCTGGAGACTAAGGTGCATCTGATACAGGCTATGGTCTTTGCAATCATTTGTTATGCATCAGAGAGTTGGACAATGACTAGGGAGGATAGAAGGAGAATTGATGCCTTTGAGCTGTGGTGCTGGAGAAGAGTATTGAATGTACCATGGACTGCCAAGAAAACAAACAGATTCATCCTGGAGAGCGTTAAACCAGGCTGCTCCTTGGAGGCAAGGATTCTGGGGCTTCGTCTGACATACTTTGGACATGTTGTAAGGAGGGACAGGTCCTTGGAGAGGGACATCATGCTTGGGAGGGTGGAGGGACGGCGCAGGAGGGGAAGACCCTCTATGAGGTGGATTGATTCAGTGACTGGGGTAATCGGGATGGGTGTGTCAGAGGCAGTGCGATTGGCACAGGATAGAGCAGGGTTTAGGGCTATTGTACAAAGGGTCCTTATGAGTCACAAGCGACTTGACGGGCACACAACAACAACAACAAACTTTAACAACCAGCCATGAGCTACTTGACAATAGTGGCCACATGAAAATTATTGATCACAGAAATGTCAGTATCAACGGATCCCAGCACTCAGTAAATAAGAGGTTTTCCTCTACACTGGTATGCAGTCAGCAAACACATTATATCACTGGCTCTACCTTGTACCAGTATACTCCCAACTTGGAATAGGCTTCCTTGCCACTGATGGCATTGCAAATTGGTGTGTTTCTTTCTGTTTGTTTTTTGTTTTTTCCTTCTTGTGTACCACAAAATTGGATCCAGCTGACGCAGGAGGAGACTGCCCCTCCTTCTCCAGTGGAGCATCTGGTGGATGTAAGTTGGTTTTAATATAAACTAGATAATTTTAAAAAATAGTTTTCATTATATTGCTTTTTAAAAATTGATATTTATAAAAACTCATTTTTTTGTCTTTGGAGACTTGGAGCATTACTTATAAACTTACACATATGATGTGACGTGCAAATTATACTCTACAGCACTATATTTAGTACATATCAATAATGATATGATGCATAAAAATCAAAACCCCGGAAAACCAGATGATCATAAATGTGGTTCACTGTAACCCAAATATGTCCTCATCCCAGGACTTCTTGTACTTCTATTGCTATTGCTTTTTCTCTGGTAGCTGATCTGGGAATTTTGCTTCTTTTCAATCCTGTATTTACCATATACTCAAAAATTAAGGACTATACTGATTAATAATTCCCTGACTTCATTATAAAATGGGGGAGGGGAGAAAATCCTCCTCTAGCCAGTGCTACAGTTTACATTCTCTTACCATTCTGATCAATGTTACTGATCAAGCTACTAAGAATTTACAATTGGACCATCTGAATTCGTTTTTCCTGTGCTCCACTTATTTTTCAATAAGGTTGATAATTAATAAAGCAATGGCCAGAAAGCAGGCAAGAGGAAGTGGAGTGATTCCAAACAGCTTTCTCCGCTGTTCATTGAACATTTCCATTTAAAAATCGATGTCACCTGAATGATGCTTTAACAAAGCAGTACATTCCAAAACTTTCTGTAAAATTATTTCAGTTCTTGGCAGTATTTATAGGCCATTAGTATTCAAAATGGTTTTAGACATCCAAGTAAGAATGTGTTAAATCCTTACTTTTTATTTAAGCTCTTTGGGGTAACATCCATTTCCTTAATATAAGCTATTAATAGAAATAACAAGAACATACATATTTGCTTAAAGCTTTAGCTTAGCTAAGGAATGGCATAAAACATAAAGGCACACCAACTCTTTGTCATTGCTATTGAGTCAGAACTGATTCATAGCTGACTCTCCATTGCATTTTCTGAGGCTGTACCACACGGGAGGAGACTGTCTATCTTTCTCCAGAGGAACTGCTAGTGGATTAGGTCTGCCAAACAGGCATGGCCTTTGGGCTAGCAGGAAAACTCTCCATGGACCACACCACTAGAGCTCCCTAAGATCTTGGACTGATACGACTGTTTTTGTTGTTAAATACCATCCAGTTGGAACCGTCTCGCAACTGGTCCTTCAGCAGGTTTTCAGAGGCATTAATTTACACAGGAGGAAACTTTCCATCTTTCTCTAGTGGAGCAGCTTTGAATCACATGCCCGTTGGTTGGCAATGCAGCTCGGACCACTGGACTACCAGAGCTCCCTAAGACCCTGACTTGATACCTTGAGTCAGTATCAGTGCATAAAAAAGAAACCAGCACATTCACAAATCAGTTGTGTCATTTCTTTCTTTATCAAGGCAAAGTAATTCTTTATTCAAATATTTACCTTTGCAACTTGAACTTTTGGAATGATACTGTTTCCAGTTACTTATTAAGAAAGGGGAGGTAGAAAAGACAAACAGAAACTATTTGAAAAGTTCACCTTACTCATTACACAAAGGTAGGTGACACAAGAAACTTCCAAAGTGGCAATAACTGTATGAAAGACATCTCCTTATGTTAGTACGAAAAATAAATCTGTACAAGACAGTCCAGGAACTTAGATCAACAGATAATAATGAAATCTCTGGCAACTGCACATGTTCCCACATTCTCCCTTTCTGTTTTCTGAAACAAGGAAAAAGCAATTCCTATAAAGCACCTGTTTGCTGCAGAAAATCAAGGACTACAACCTTTAATATGGACAGCATTTCAGCATCAAGAAGACAAAAATCCCCACCACTAGACTGATAAGCAATCTCATGATAGGTGGAGAAAGGATTGAAGTTGTCAATTATTTCATCTTACTTGGATCTACAAGGAACACCCTTGGTACCAGCAGTCAGGAGATCAGGATACATATTGCATTGGGCAAGCCTACTGTCGGGGACCTCTCCAAATTACAGAAGGGCAATGATTTCAGTTTGAAGACTGAGGTACACCTGATTCAGGCCATGATCTTTTCAATCACTTTCTATGCGTCCTAAAGCTGGACAATGAATAAGGATGACAGAAGAATGCCTTTGAGCTGTGGTGTTGGAAGAGAGCATCCCATGAAGTGACTACTTCATGGACTGTCTAAAGAGCAAACAGTTATGTCTTGGAGAGGGAACAGCTGGAATACTCTTTGGAGTCAAAGTTGTGAGCTTCTCCTCTCACACATTTGGTGTTAGGAAAGCTTATTTCTTGGAGAAGATCATTATGCTTGGAAAAGTGGGTGTAAGCCAAAGAAAGGAAAACCATCCATGAGATGGACTGACACAGTAACTGTAGTAATGGGTTCAGGTGTGTCAGAGGTGAGGATGGCGCAGGATAGGACAGGTTCAGATCTGCTGTTCACAGGGTCAGTATGAGTCATACTCAGCCAGATGGCACTTAACAACAGCAAAAAATAAAGCAACTAGAGGTCTAGTGACATAGTGGATAAGGAGTTGTGCTATCAATATAAATGCAAGTGGTTCCAAGCTACTAGCTACTAGCTACTCCGTGACTGAACAATGAGCAATCAGCTCCAGTGCAGTTTATAGCCTCTGAAAACCCACTGGAAGGTCAGCTGAGTTGGTTCTGACTCAACCGCAATGGGTGGTGGTAGCAGCAGCAGTATAAGGCAACTTCCTTTGAAAATAGAAAAGTGTAGGAATATAATTCTCTTTATAAAAAGTACCTGTATGCTCAACTCCTAACATAGGAAG